TCTTATGTTTGTGCTTTATGTTTGTGCATTAAGTTTTCAGGAGTTGAATGAAACCTGCTTGCATATATATATATATATATCCTTATCCTATGAATCCTAATAGTATGTCAAGATCGTGTAGATTGTTATGCTTAAGGATTCCGGTAGAAGTCGAGTGATTACCTGTCACTCGCGAGAGATAGGAAAAATATTATTACTATTATTATCATATTACTATCACATGGAATATATATATCAGGATGATAATTGGAGACCAGGCGGAAGGGTACTTTGGATCTGGACTTGGTTAGGCATTCGAGCGAGGCTCGGGTTGCATTTATTTCGCCTGTGTCGATTGAGGACCGTCCGTTGCTGTGGATGGTAGTCAGATCACAGACTTATTATCCTGAGCACATACTTGCTTATGAGAGTGGGAAGGCTCGTTATGCTCTTGTCGCGGGTTTCGGCTCTTTTTGGACCGACTAATTGGAGGCGGGGAAAGGTGGAGGTCTAATCATCATACTGAGACCGGGTCTCAAGTGTGGAGGCTTGGAGTCTAAGTTTGGACGGAGACCTGGACCCCTCGATAGGAGTGGAATGGGTTGGTATCATTTGTGCCTGGGGTACAAACGAGGCGTGTGTTTCAGAGTACCCAGCTAGGATACAATGATTCGTGAATCGCCATCTCTGTGAGACGGTAACGACTTGGCTATGGTCTAGCACCGTAGTAAGAACTAGAACATGGAAAGTGATAAAATTGTTCTGATTGCATACCACATGCTTGAAAGTAGCATAGGTGCTTATCTAGAATGGTTAGCTAATTAACTAAAAATAACTGCTAAAACTTTGAATATAAGGATGCACTATTAGTAATGTTTCCTACAAATGCAATAAACCAGCAAGCCAAATAAGCCTTGTATATCCTTAGAGTCTTTTACTTTTCTCTTATCGGGTAAGTCTTGTTTAGTACAATCAAGTACTTAGGGTTTTATCCCCTTGGTTACAGGTGACGGGTGAATGCTAGAGCTGACTCTTGTGTGTGAAAACCTCCTGGTGGGCTCAGAGAGGATTCCTTTTACGCTGCGATCGTAGTGTTCACTTATAACCCTCACTAAAGGTTTTATAAGAAAAAGATATAAAATCTGCTAGCATATCTTGTAAATAAATGGCCATTATGTTAATGCTTCACCAGGTCAGTAAATTAATCTTTGTTTCCGCTGTATCTCTGATCATATGTTTATTTTCGCTGCAAGATAAAACTTGTGAACCGGAAACCGTTTACATGTAAACTATTTTAATTCCGCTGTTGCATTCAACTTGTCCAAGTACTCTGATATTGTAATAAAGTGATGTAAGAAATGGCTAAGAGTGTTGTAAGCTTTATCCTCTCATTTATGATCCTGACATAAAATGTGGATTTTTGAGTTCTCCCTTGGGTGGGCTCGACGGAGCTGTTTGGTTTAGCCACTTCCGTGGTGCTTAGTGTCTAGTGGAAGACAAGCGCCTTCGAAAATATGTTATTTCGGACAGTTCTGCCATAGGCTGCCCTTGGTTAAGTCCGACCTCTTGTTTGTCTGTGAGTATCCTTCACGACTTATATTTTATTTATAAGGCTGCCCTCGGTTAAGTCTGATCTCTTACAAGCATGGTATAAGTTAGTTATCATCAGTTAATTATAAGGTTTCATCGGTTTGGTACGTATCTCATATAAATTTTGATACAGATTAGTTATCGGTTCAATCTATTAAGATTGGTGGGGTTTTCTTGCTGTTTTTAATAAATTTGCTAGTTATCGATCTTGTAATAATTAGTTTCTTACTATTTGTAACAAAATCACCCCTTGTCCGATTAGGATTGAAGTGGATCGACTTTATATCTCTTTATATCATCGTCTTGTTGCTTTACCCGTTTACATCTTGTTTTGACGATGGTTTCAACTAGCTTAGCCGTTTTGATCCAATCTTGATCGAAGATAGCATGTGGTCAGGACGTGTTTAACCCTAAGTAAAGCTTGCTAGTTAACGAAATCTGGTTTACAGTTGCTATTATGGCTGTCATCGATCCGGTTGACCCCACTGTTAGCACTATAGATCAGAAATCGTTAAATAGTAAGGCTTGCTTATAGTCAAACATAGCCTCTGGCTGCATGTTATATCCGCATCGGCTATTTAGCCGATCGCCTGCGCTTCCACGATCGTAGTATGTTTTCACGATTCTGTTAAGCGCGTATAGATTCGTATGCTTTGAAGGTTTAACCTGTTATCTTTATCATGGTTGCATCGGTCCGGCTCATATCCCCACTGTCAGAGATGACATATTGGATTTGATAAGTGTATAGACTTATCCACGTTTAATAGTTGAGTGTTTACATGTTACGAGTCTTCTTTCATTGGAATCGGCTGTTTTAGCCGATAACCTGTCTTTTGAGAATGTATTGGTTATTTACATGCTTTTACTTAACTTTATCTTGGTTAAAAGCTAATATGTTTCTCAATTAATATGAATGCTCTCACGCCTATCTTTTTACATCTTTAGCATGTTTTCATGATCATCGATTAAGTTAGATCTATGCAGTTGAGTAAATGATAATTGCCGATACGCTGGTTTGTGTTTATCATGCATCATGAATATGCTGGATATCGACTCTCTAGTCGATAGCCTTATTTCATCGGCTACTTAGCCGCATATTTGGAACTGTCTGGACAGACACCAGTATGTTCCACCTTAAATTACTGATCAATCTTGTCTCCTTATTAATTGTAGGGTCAAATTGACTCGTACGCTCTAGGTCACGACCATCCGATCCGATGTCCTCTTAAGTTCGAAGAGAGCTCAGAATCTACTCCACACGATTTTTGTCAGCTTGCTAGCGTGTCGATGGTGGGGATTGACCCATCACTTTTTGGCCATCGACACTGTAAAGTCAAGAGGATGGAAAAGTAGCATGCAGGCAGACAGAGAAACAGTGGCTCGTGAGACCAGCAAGTGTGGCCTGCGTTGAGAATACAACAGCCTTAAGGTCCCGTTCGACTTACCTCATATTTAGTTTGTTCAACTTTTTTTTAGCCAGAACAGTATTTTTCTTTCACAACAATTCAAACAGAACAGTATTTTTTAGCTAATTTCAACTAAAATTCTGAGCAGGACTTTTGCCTCGGATGGGCTTGCCCTTAGGAATAGAACAACTCGCTAGCAACTGCACTCGCTAGTCTCACACGGATTCCTAGAAGAGCTATCTCTCAGTCCTGCTGTCCACGCATTTATGCTCCATACTTTTTTCTATTTTCTACACTGTTTCTAACCTCCAGCTCAGATGTCGACTTAGACCCCGTTTGGCAGGGCTTCACTTCACTAGTGAAACTATTTTTTTTTGCTTTAGCTCCACGAACAGCTTCACCGGTGGAGCTGAAGCGGTTTTGGTAAACCATTTGGCAAAATGGCTTCCCTGTGAGAGCATGTTTTTAGGGGCCTGGAGGAGGAGCCGGAAGAAGCCACTATTTTTGGCTCCTTCCCACCCCAAAGCTCTGTGAGAGCACGTTTTTAGGGGCTTCATCGGTGGAGCCGTTTCATTTTACCCTGTTTGGCAGAAAACGGCTCCAAACGGCTCCTGAAGCCGCTGGAGAAGCCCTGCCAAACGAGGCCTTAATATTTCTGCTGTGGACGCCCTAATCACGTCTGAACGTATACCTCGGTGCACTGCACCAAGAAGGGTGATGTTGGTGTTCCCTTGCATTACATAACAATACACCCGCTTGTCCAAAAAAAATACAACTACTAGTACTACAACTATAAGATTTATGTAAATCAAATTAGCTTAACTTAACTAAATCTATAGTGTATATTATTAATATTTATGTCTCTAACTAGGTTTACTGTGAAAATATATTTTATAATCAATTTAATGATACTTATCTTGAATCATAAATTATTATTCTTATATAACTTTTGATCAAACTAGAAATTGTTTGATTCCTCGTAAAGCGAGAATTACATTATTTTATGGGTAGGTGGAGTATATATACATCATGACCTTATTTGCTCCTAGTACTCTTTCGTCCTAAAATAAGTCCCTATCTTATATCTCAAGGAGTCAACCAATCTTAACTTTGACTAAGTTTTTAAAAAAATTATATTCATATCTATATCTTCAAATGGATTTACTCGTTTGAAAAAATTAGATTTACTATGAAAACATATGGTGTGATTAGTCTAATAATACTTATCTGATATCACAAATAATAATATTTTTTGAGATATATATTTGGTTAAATTTAAGATTTGTTTGGTACTCCCTCCATCCCAAATTGTAAGACGTTTGACTTTTTTGGCCTCAAGTTTGACCACTCGTCTTATTCAAAAAATTTGTACAAATATAGTCAAATTTAAGTCATTCTTGAAGAATTTTTATTAATAAAGCAAACCACAACGAAAGAAGTGATATTTTACACAAATTTTTGAATAAGACGAGTGGTCAAACTTGATATCAAAAAAGTCAAACGTCTTACAATTTGGGATGGATTAAGTATATATCTTTAAATATGTACGTAGCTCTGAGATCTTTTAGGCTGTGGGCTTCATTTCGGGACTACTATACATGTCAATCTGGGTCCAATGGACCATTCACTTTGTAAGGAGCCTGTATGTTTTTCGGCCCTTCACGATAAGCCCACGGCTATACTACATGTCAATCTGGGTCCAATCGACGAAGCACACATCACAGCCCACTGGCCCCAGCCTGCTATGCCAGAACGAAGACGCAGCGCACATATAACGGAAAAAAATTGGGCCCTACTCCATCGCCTCTGCGACCTCCCTCCCTCTTTCCGCTACGCGCCCAGACTTGTTGGCTCTCGCCGGTACGCGCCGCCGCGGCCCGCCGGGCGAGCGGCCGGAAAAAGTGGCCAAATGGGGAACCCCACCTAAACACGTCCCTGCGCACGGACAAAACCACGCCAAATCGCGGTCGTGCACGGAGAGAACCCCTGAAAAAGCGCGACCGTCGCAGCTCACAGGAGGCAAGCATGCCGCCCGGGCTGGTCGCTGCCGCTCCCATCGGCCGCCGGCTCTCGACCGCGGCCGCCACGCCGCTGTCCAGCCTCACCGACGCGCTCCTCGCCACCCGCCTCGCTAGCCACCTCCTCACCACGCCGCACCTACCCGCCACGCTGCTGCCCGCGGCGCCGCTGCCGCTCCCCGTCCACCTCCACATCCTCCGCCACCCGGCGCTCCCACCGGCCTCCAAGCTCTCCTTCTTCCTCGCCGCCACGCCGCCCGCCTCCCCGCTACTCGCGTCCACCTTCCCCGTCCTCCTCCGCGCGCTCGCCGCCGGCTCCCCACCGCTCCTCGACGAGCTCCTCCCGTTCGCGCTCTCCTCCGCGTCCCCGTCCACCCTCCTCCCCGCCCTCCTCTCATGTCTCCTCTCCGCTTCGCGCCTCGACGCCGCGCTCTCCCTCTTGGACGCCTCGCCGCCAGACCTCCTCCCCCGCCTCGCCGCAGCTGCTCTCCCTTCCCTCATAGCCTCCCCGAACCTCATCGCCGCCGTCCCCGCCATCCGCAAGCTGCTTCCCATCGCCTCCCACCCACCACCCGTCCGGGCAACGAACCGCCTCCTCCTGGCCTTATCGAAGGAGAACCTCTGCGACGACTTCTGCTATGTGTTCGAAGAAATGTCGAGGAAGGGCCTCCCTTCGAATGTAAGGTTATACAACATTTGCATCCACGCGTTTGGCAAGTGGAGGCAGCTGGGTATGTCGCTGAGGCTTTTCGCAGCAATGAAGGCCGCCACTCCTCCTATTGCGCCAGACATATGCACGTATAATTCAGTCATCCGGGCGCTTGTGGTTGGTGGACGGGTACCGGATGCTTTGGTGATTTTTGATGAAATGAAATCTTCTGGAATTGAGCCAGATGTCTTTACTTATCGAGCAGTCATGAATGGGTGCTGCAAGAGTTTTCGGATGGATGATGCACTGCGTGTGTTTCAGGAGATGCGGGGCAGCAGTGGGGTGAAGAGTGATGTGGTGGTGTACAATTCACTTCTCGATGGGATGTTTAAAGCAAAGAAGCTTGACGAGGCATGCGGTTTTTTTGAGACAATGGTGGCTGATGGAATCCAATGCTCAGCAAGCACACACAACATTGTGATAGATGGGCTGTTTAAGAATGGGAGGGCAGAAGCAGCATGTCGGCTTTTTTACGAGCTAAGAAGGAAAGGGCAACTGTTGGATGGAATTGCTTATAGTATCATGGTGAGGGAGTTCTGCAAGGAGGGGATGGGGGACCAAGTTGCAGAGGCCGTAGAGTTGGTGAAGGAGATGGAGCAGCAAGGCTTCAGCGTTGATTTGGTTACAATAACATCATTGCTAATAGGTTTTAACAAGAGTAAACGTTGGGACTTGGAAGAGCAAATAGTAAAGTTTATAAGGGATGGCGCTGTATTGCCGGATGCCATTCGGTGGAAATCAAACATGATGGTTGCCTTGAGAGGACCTCACGGTAGAGAGAAAGATGGGACACCACTGTTTTCCTTCGATGGTAATATGGATGATGTGATGAGTTTGATTAACCATGTGGGACATACAGGTACTGATGAAGAAACTCCAAATAGTGATCCCAAGGATGATTGGTCACTGTCACCACACTTGGACCATCTTGCTAAACATGCTGACAGTTTGAACAGCTCTGCTGTATTTACAATGCACAGAGGGCAGAGGGTGCAAGGTATGGGTGCCAAGACTTTTGATGCTGACATGGTCAATACATACTTGTCAATTTTTTTAGCCAAAGGGAAGTTGAGTGTTGCTTGCAAGTTATTTGAGATCTTTACGAATCTAGGAAACAAAGGGACAAGTTATACATACAATTCACTGATGACCTCCTTTGTCAAGAAGGGCTATTTGAAACAGGTATGGGCAATTCTTCATGAAAAGGGTGGACAGCTCTGCCCTAATGATGTAGCAACATATAATCTAATCATTCAAGGTCTTGGCCAGATGGGGAAAGCAGAGGTTGCTAGCACAATTATTGATCGGTTGTCAAAGAAAGGTCTTTACATGGACATTGTCATGTATAACACTTTGATCAATCAGTTGGGAAAGGTCGGAAAGGTTGAAGAAGCAGGCTGCTTGTTTGAGCAGATCATCAGAAGTGGCATGAAGCCAGATGTTGTTACTTTTAATACATTGATCAATATTAATGCAAAAGCTGGTAGACTAAAGGAAGCTGACAAATATTTGAGGAGGATGATCACAGAAGGCATTGCGCCAAACTATGCCACAGAAACAATATTGATTTTCCTTGATAAGGAGATTGAAAAGAGAAGGCAGCAGCACAAATGAACAACAACAACAACATAGCCTTTCAGTCCCAAGCAAGTTGGGGTAGGCTAGAGTTGAAACCCACCAAGAGCCCCAAGTCACGGTTCAGGCACTTCAATAGCTGCTTTCCAAGTACTCCTATTCAAACATAGCAGCACAAATGAACTGGCAAAAAAATACGAACGAAAACAGTGTGATATATGTTATTTGTATTAACCATTACAAGGTATGTTCTTGTTATATCCAAACTGGAAAATTGCTGTACAAATCATGATTATTGTAGTGCTGAATATTCGGAGTTAATGCAGTTCAGAAGGCTTGGCTGAACCAAACTATTGGAGTGATGATCACTTTCGATATGCTCACTGATATTCCGGTATGCTCACTGATATTCCTGCTTTAACCATAAAGCCAAAAACTCTTAATCTCTGATGTCTTGGCGGTTTAGAGACGTTACTGTGGGCTTCCAGGAAACACCCTAAGACGATTAGGCAGCCTGTTGGCCAAAGGACACATTTAATTCTGCAAACTGCATCAATTGCATTGAATGAGATCTTCCTGTATCACATCACACATTCATAGTCAATCTAAAGTTCTAAACTGCCATGAGGTAAATTTGGCAGCATTTAATTAAATTTGCCATATTTCTCTTTCCCTAGTTTTTTTTTTTTTTTTGGTTTGTTATCTTTTGGAGTTTGTATCCAGTAAATGTCAGACAAATGAAACTGCAGTGATCACTAAGGCTAGCTATAATTACTTGATCACAATTGTCTACTGGAAAGCTCTTTTAAAATGCCTTCTTAGATTATTGGATAACAGAAGATTAAAAGCACTGAGTATGTACCTACAGATATTTCTGTTTCTTTTCTGGAGGGGGGCTCGGGAGGACCTTTCTTTTCCCCTCAAACTCTATTGCAAAGATGTTAATTCAGAAATTCTATACAAAGTACTGAGTATGGAGCCATCGTTCTTTCACTATCACAAAATAGGATCCCCACGGGATCCTTCGATCCTACCAGATTAGGTGCGGACCCTACTACCAGTGCCTTCTCGAGTTCTTGTCCAATGATGGTCAAGTCTATGGATACTTCTCTTCGGTTAATAAGTTAGAGAAGAGCTGTCTTTGGTGTTAATTGCTTGCTTTGCCAGGGAATGTATCGATCAAGTTTGGTTTAAGGCCATTATCCCTGGGGTATGATTGCGGATAGGTTCCTATGGCTCTTCCTAAGCTGGCAATCGACAAAGCTAGGTATGACTGTTGCCTCATCAGGTTCATAGATCTATGGGCATCAATTGTCAAGAAAACCAGTTGTAAGGCAATAAATAGGGGATCTATGGCCAGAAATCGATCTCTGTTGTGACTCAGTCATGCTCTCATTTGTTGCAGTTCACATTATGCTGACTATTACTATCGATTTTTTAAGATCATTATTTCCATTAAGTGCTTGAACTCTTTCTCCCTTTTTTTTTGACATGAATATGCTATCAGTAATTCAGTATGCATGTGTTACAACCAAATTAAACAGGACGTGCAGTCGAGCACTTTGTTTTGTCCTTTGTCGTCCGTTGTCATCCTCTTCATTCTCCCTTCATCTCTCTCTATCATCTACACCTCTTCCTGGATGACGATGACATCGGCTCCCCTTCCGCTTCCTCCGCTACAACTTTTTGGTTGGTTGGTTGTGGCTGGTTGAATTGGGATAGGAAGTTCATGGTGATACTTTTAGCATTACTTTTCAGTAACGTGTACTTGTTCTCTCGGATCAGCGGCATTGTTGCTCATAACTACTATGTTTCACTATATGAGCATTTGATATCTATCACGTGATTATGTTGCTATGCCTAGAATACTGAAATGCTATATCAGTATGAAGTTTATCATTACTGAGATAAGGGGCATGGCAAACAAAATTTGTTTAGAATATTTTGGTTCCATGTGTGACACCAATTGGTTGTTCACGATAAGCAGACAGATACTATTTACTGGAAAGCTTAGTTTATGGACATTGTGTATTTCATGTGAAGCTTAGTTTTGGTCCATATGAAGATGTTAGGATTGAACAGTCTGTACTTTTGCAGTGATCCAGATTAGGAGGATCTCTATCATCAAATTTGTGGCAGATTTCAGTTGGAGAATTGATTGAGATTAGGGATGGACCCAGCAGCAAACTTTTGGGTGGGGTGGGGGGATCTGTCACTGAGATGTATTCTGATAATGCCATTGCTCACATGTAAAACACTTGTATCAGGGTAATACATTGGGCTGATATTTTTGTCATCATACTATATCATGCATCATTATCTAAGGGAATCATGTAACTACCCCTGATCATCGATTTTTAAGAAGATTCTTCAATTAACAATTTGTATTAAGATATATGCTCAGATTTGGACTGCAGCGAAATACGCCTAATACAACCAGGTAGTTTGTACAAAATCATGAAGTGTTTGGACCACTGAGCACTCCAAGAGGTTAAACAGTTTTTTTAATACAATTAAGAGATTAAACAGTTGGAATACACCCGTCATTTGTGCTTTTGATTTTGTGCACCTTTTCAGGGTAGAGTATACAGTATAGAAATACCTCGTGGCAGCCGTGCTTGCATGTTTTAGTGATTGTTACCTGTAGATAGGATAGAGTTGGTATACGACCGCACTGTATCTTGCTTAGTTTATCACTGTGCAAACAAAACACCTCCCTGTTTCATAACAGTTTTGGATCATAATCAAATGTCGTAAAAGGCTCGTGCTTTGAGCCAAGTTTGTTGCATCCAGATTGAATTATAAAACCTGGAGCCGCAATGTGGTCCTCCTCTGCTGTGCTGCGTGGGATGTGTGTCTTGTTTTCACGGGGACCCGTTTTCACGTGCACGCCTCGGGCGTTGGCCGTTGCACGGGGATCCGATTACGAAATCAGGAATCCGAAATTGGGTCAGAAAGGTTCTTGCTTTCTGCTCCTCCAACTCGGCGTGAACTGCACCAGAATCAGGAAGAGAGCTCTTTTGAGGCCTAGTACTCGTCTCCTGGTTTGTCATTTTTTTTTTGAAAATTATGTTTGTCAGATTGGATGTGCTCTTCAATCTTTTCGTACAAAAATGAGGCTAACCTGTCTCCGTATCTCTCGCAACTTGCCTTACATTGTGTCGTGCAATTTGGATGCTTCGTTTAAACTTTAAAGAGGTCCGAGAAGGTCTATGGATGAGATCTGTCGGGTTCATAAACCACTCCCCATGTCACCCCGGTTGGAGTCGCAGGGGATGTACGCGGGATACGAGCCTCCCGCACTCGATTTCCTCTACAGGGCGAAACCCTCCACCGGCGCAATCTCGGCCGGATTCCCCGCCGTTAAGGCTCTCTCGGAGAACAGCCACTGGAAGAAATCCGCGTGCAGCTCCATCCCGAGGAAAGCCTCGTAGACGGTGACGAAGCCGGCGATGTGTAGCACCCCCATCGGATTAAGGTGTTGAAGCTCCAGACCCCACTCATTGAGGAGCCCACATAGAAACCAGTGCGCGGGGTACCCTAACCCACGCTCATGGAAGGTGAGAAAGGACACCACCTCGTCAGGCCGAGGTTGTGGGAACTCCTCCCTCCTGGGAGCCCTCCAGTGCGCCACCTCCTTCGGCGGCAGGAACCCATTCGCGACGAAGGCCTTCAACACCGACTCCCTCACGGTGGACGACCTCCAGTCCGACATTTCGCTCCGGGATCGCAAAAGGATTTGTGAGTTTTTCTCTTCTCCCTCGCTCTCTCCCTCTTCTTTTCTTTCCTAGAAACCACCGCGGCTCTCAAGAACGCTCTCGACAAGGAGAAAAAGGAAAGGAGGCGGCAGATGAGGAACAGGCAAAAGAACGGGGCGAAAGCCTTCTCCCTTCTCCTACTTAAGGAAAAAGGTACAACAGTTAGGGGAGGACGCGCCGATCGGGAAAGACGAAATGGCGGAGCGAAAACCCCTCTCTCTTTCCCATTTAATGCAGATGAGACGTGCCCTGACCGATGAGACGTGCCCTGCCCGACGGAACAGCTCCTGATCAGACGGGACGTGGCCTAGGTATGGCCCACCACCACCGCATGCCAGCCACTACTGCACACTGGGCACGAGAATCAAAGCGCCACCGCACGCAGGCGGCCCTCCACTTCCCCAGGCGGGACTTGGAAAAACCTAAAATGGGATCTCCGCCGGGAGAGACCATCGGGTTTCCTAAAAGTCGATCGAACGGCTCAGGAAAACACACCGAGAGACAGGTAGGAAGCAAAGGGACACCTCATGAAGGCCATGCCGACTCCGTCACGAACGACAAGCACGGGTCCCGGTCGGACATTTCTGACTGTAGCTCTTCAAACCCCGTCACTCGAGTCATCAAGGTAACACTACCAACCCCTGCTATTTCTTTATTTAAAACATTTTTATACATCCATACGCGCATTCATTCCATACGCCCGTGCCTCCCGGACGATTTGGGCCCTGAACCGCCCGGGGGCTCGGGAACTAAGCATCGCATGTGCAGCGAAATGCATCACAAGTTCACAACGCTCCGTGTTGCGTCACGAAGCGGTAGTTGCCTCATTCGACATGAGCAACCAACAGAGCCAGGGGAGAAAAACGTAGATGAGCCCCGTGCGGCCCTCGCCCAGTCTGGCAGACAGGGTCATCTCAACCTTCTCGTTCGATCCTGAACCTCTTGCCAAGCCCACAGAATCTCCATCGAGGGGGGGCCGTTAGGCCACCCGGGTCGGTCTCCGGAACGACCCAGGCATCTGCCGGGTTGTAGGTAAAGGAGCAGTGGAATGTCATAAGAGGGCTATGCCGACCCCGTCATGAACGACGGACCTAGATTCCACTCGATCATACCCGTTAGCGAACTCACCAAGCGCGTCACTCAAGCCCAAGCGATCGGGACAAGCGACAAAACTCAGTCCCTCTGGTTGTGAGGAACCGAGGACAGGGTAACGCACACAACTCACACCGACCCCTACTAAGGCCCAACAGGGATCGGGGGCTCAAGACACAAAATGCCCGA